CACACGTTGTTTGTTTGGGTACAATTGACTTTTCCCTCAGCTACAATAAGAGATCTCATTACTAGAATAGAGGTATAGATTTGCTGACTAAAGGAGAGAAGTCTGGGCACAGTAAAACAGGCAATTTATATATTAGGTCAAATGAAACACATTTCTTTTTAAAAAATGATTTCTGGTAGAAATTGGCTCAGACCCATAGGAATTCTAATAAAAAGATATTCTTTTCAAAAATTATAGGAGAAAATTGTCCTGTTATTTGACCTCTCTCCTCAAATAGTGATTTAGAATTTACAATCCTGAATAAAAACGGCATTAAAAGATAGCCTGAATTTTCTCACACAGCTCTTTTCATTTCTGAAGGAAGGTATCAACAATAAAAGAGAAGCATGTCAAAGGGGCCTGTCTGTCCCTGGAGCTGAAATGGACACTCCATTATCTATAAGACTGACCTCTTCACAGATTAAAAAAGAAGAAGATGAAGAAGTTGTTTTACCGATGCTTCTTTTATTATTGAAGAATTTCCATTTTTAGGTTTGTGCATATGATAAGCATCACTAATATTCTCTCTCAAAAAATATAAATTTTTGGAGTCAGATATTCAAACAAGAAAAGGAAGAAAAGGAAAATCTATATAGAATCATACCTTTATGCCCTGAATTATGACTATCTGAACCAACTAAAAGTTGTGATCATCTCAAAAGTTACTCCATCATAAAACATTCAAAGCCAAGAAAAAGTGAATATCTGAAGCTAGTAAGGTTTAGATGCTTAGTTGGCTTAATTCTCCACTTAATCTTGAAATGAAATACCCAAATCCTCTTATCTTCCCAAGTAATCAAGAACTCTGGCTGCCAGTAATTAATACCAATACTTTGAATAATCAACTTAATATACATATTTTTTTCAGAACTATCAAGTTTGAATCAAAAGCTTGAAAAAGAGAAGTTCCTAAAGAGAGGCATTTAAAGTAACAATGCCATACCTCCCATTCAAACACTTAAATGAATTCCAAGGAAGCTTTTGGCTCATTATCTTGTAATACAAAAAGTTTTATCTACTATCATATCATAATATATTTGGTGCATTATGTGGAGCAAGAGAAATGTTACTTATTAATGTTTAGGAAAGCTAAGAGGTTGATATCTTCATATACAATATTTGTCACAACTGTGTTGGCAAGATAAATTTTATATCATTTTTTTTCTCTAAGGCATGTGATATCAATGTATTTTCTCTGAAGAAAAGTAGTGTATATTTGAACATCCTGATTTAACAGAGATGGGGATATTTAGACAAGCTTACTGGCCTCTGAGGTTTTGTAAATGACAACATTGGTGTCCTAATGTTCTGACTGTGCTGCTGCCCCTCATTTCTGTACCTTTCATTTATCTCCTGTCACTCATGTAGCATGGGCTAGTTACTCCATGCCATGGGATGTGTTCTCCTGATCTGTGTATTGACTGAGCAGGTTGTTGAAAGGAAGCTCTGACAGTGCATTCAATGTGCCTACTGCATACTCCCAGCACAGTGTAGACACCCAACACATCTCAGTCATTTTGGAGATTGACATGGACAAGAAGAGCCAGGTAGAATTGTGAAACCTGTCTTAAGACACCCAATTGCAAGCACAGGGGGAAAAGGACAATTTAAAATGGTTTTGAGAGGAACCTAATTTCTTCTCTCAAGCACACATATTTGGGGCTATGTCTCTGACTATATAGTGGTATACTAGCAAGCTATTGCCACCCAATTGCTGAGCCTGCCAGGGTCTCGGGCACAATGATTTCTTTTCTTTTCTTTTCTTTTTTCTTTTTTTTTTAGTACAAATAAATGGATGTTTCTGTTTTTCTGAGAAATGATTCCTGTGGTGAAAAGAAAATATTTAAGGCTTTTATCATATTTCTCTTTGGGCAGACTCTCATTAATCATAGACACTCCCTTTGTCCACAGCTCAGTGAAACTGAGATCACACTGTCCATTACATGAGTTGTAAAAGAGCTAATGAAGGGTAGCACAGTTTCTGCACTACTTAGACTTCTAAGAAGAGTTCTTAGACTTTTCCATTTGCAAAATGGAGAAAATATGTCCTCTGTCTTACAAAGACATGGGAAATTATATTTGAGAGAGTACTATGAAATCCTTTAGGCATAAAAACAAATGAAAGCATCATTATTAAATGGAAGGCAAAGGACATCTTAAAATGACATTCCAAATAAAAGGAATATCTATTAGGCTAGTTTTCAACTTTGCCTGCTACCTGTACTTTCTTTTGAGCTATTTAGTTATAGCATCTCTTCTCTTCTTTTAAGGGTATTTCACTTTAAGGGCAAAAGAATTGAAAAGATACTAAAAACAATTAAAATATTGAAAATGTACTTCTTTAATAAGCTTTAAAATATAATCAGTGAAATAAGATATTGATGTAATGAATTGCAAGTAAATGTAGATCATATTAAGATCATAAGAGAAGCAACACCAAAATACTGCTGAAGGTTAGAGGAGCGAACAATTACAACCAGCTGTTTGAGCAGACAAATTGGGCAGCAGTTTATTTGAAGAAAATTGTTTTGAAAGACAATGCAAGAAAAGGATAACAGGTTATCCTGTTTGGGTTGAATGCGGAGTAAAAAAATAAGTGAAAATTAACAAAACAGGTGATCCTATCCCAAAGCTTGGCACAATAACATGGGAAAATAGAAGCAATAGAACTCTGACAGTTTTTATGCTTAATTGAGAAAACACAGGAGAAAAATGTTAGGAAGTTAGAACTTAGGACTCCTGAATGTAATTCTGCATCTCACTGTCACAACTATAAGAATTCTGCTATCTATGAAATAACAATGAAATATGAGCATCCAAAATTTGCTTTTTGGAAAAAAAATGCTTTAACTTTCTAAAAATAAACCATAACTTATATGGCAAAAAGCAATGTTATGGGGCTCTTCTTGGTGGCACAGTGGGTTAAAGCACAGCACTAAGAAGCTAAAGCCACTTCCGCATGAGTTCGAACCCCAGCCTGGAGGTTACCCACGTGGCGCAGCAGACCTCTCCTGACCCACCCACTGCTCCCCTCAGCAGTGTACTTGGTCAATCTGCCTGTCCTGCTCCCTACTCTTCTCTGGCAAATCCTCTCACTGCACCTGCACCTCTGGCCTGTACCCCGTTCTATATGAATAAATTAAAAAAATCCTTTAAAAAATACAGATAGTAATTCACAAACCTACAATAGATGAATGACCACAATCTGAGGGAAAAATTTCTTTATTTCAGTGATATATTGCATATAAAACAGTAGTTTAGTATTTTGGTGATTTTTAAATATTCTCCACAGCTTTTTTTTTTTTTTTTTTCAGATATAATGCTCATTTATTTCTGTTTTAACTTGCACATGCTGGACATTGCACAATAGGAAATGTTGGGTCAAAGTGAAGCAGTTGTTCCCTGAGGACTGATGGGGTCAGAGACTGCCTATAAAGGATTGTTTAATTGAGAAAGGGTCAGTTTCAATAAGTTTGAGCCATTCTGCAATGCATACACTATACAAGAGACAATTATTTTTCACAAGCACTTTTTAGAAGAGGGAATCATTTTATTTAGTTTCATTGTCTTCAGCAATTTTTTAAACTCACATTCAATATCAGTCATACTTTGTGTCAAGTGCCATTGGCTATTTAAAGACCCATGTGATCAGGTTTTTTGTTTGTTTGTTTTGTTGTTGTTTTAATAAATGATCCCAAAGGGTCTCTCTTCAAGGTATAACAAGAGCATGAATTTAATTCATGCTCTGATGCCAATGATTCTAAGAGAGTATATTTATTTTCTTTGCATGATCTTTATGCTTCAGGGTGCATGTGCACTATAACTTTTCCATTTTGAGCGTGCCACACATCTTGATGAAGAACATCCCTCCAAAGACCCAACACTACCTTCTGGGCCTTCCGTCATAGGTGAAAGAATGTTGTTTTAGTGATTAGCCTCACCTATCAATAAGTTAAATCCATGACAACACTGAAGTAACTATATTGAAACTCAGCTATGTCGTCCTAACAAATGGCCACTTCAAAGACCCCAAGTTTATATTATAGTGACACTCAGAATGCTTATATCTTTGCTTCAGTTTTTATCACTGCCAATAATGACCTGAATTTAATTACTTGATATAGTTAAAAGGTTGAATGTCCCTACCTTTATCCCATCCCAATCTTTTATTTTCTCCAACTTAAATAAATAAAAAATGCTTTGAGTTTCATCATATTTTTGATTTTTCATTAATAAAGGTGTTTATTATGCATCTGTAGTTAGAAGCTTATTGAATAATGTATGAGGAAAATGTGAAAATACAATTTAATTTACAGATCTTTTAAATTTTCCTTTCTTGACATCACTAACTATTCCTCTGCTTTCAAAGATAGCATGTTAAGAATGAAATACTCTAAAAATAAGTGTCCAGATACCCTGGGGAAGCCTGTTGGATTCCCTGCCATAGGGAAACCTGTAGGATCAAAATTGGTTCTGTCTTCTATAACTTAGTATTCATGAGATTGTGAAACAGGGATGTGTTTTTAGCTACCAATATAAGAACAACAAAATGACTTTAGGGACTGTCCTCAAAAAATTACTTAAGGTGACGTATTTGTATCTCTCAGTGTTCCCGACGGTAGGCTGGCATTATTTGAAAACAGACAAATCAAATAAGACCGACTTCCTGGACTGAAACACTCTGTATGTTGTTATTTGCAGTGCATGCCAAGACATTCATGAGCACCAGAGCCAAGCTGGCGAGCTAATTAAATATATATGTGTATGTGTTTAAAACAACCTAATAAGGAGCATTGGAAATCTTCAAGATGAGCGAATATCTTATAACTTCTTCCGCAGGTGCGAGGATAGCTACAAGCCATGGACTTTCTGTCCTGCTTCTTGTTTGTGGCTTTGTGAAGGGTGCTTTGCTTTAATCTAAAGTGCTGACTTTTTTCCAATATCACTTTCTCTTCTTAAAGCAAAGAGCAAATCGCCTGTAAAATCTACGGAGCGGACAGCAAAGTTGACCCTAAACTCCAAGCACCATTCTGCACCCACTGTACTCTAATTACCTACACATGGAGCGCCTGCTTTCGGAAGCATAAATGAAGAGGTTATCACACGCTTTGTTCCTATTACTTTCTTTAAATCACTGGTCTTTAATTTCAAGACAAATAGTGTGAAATGATAGGACATTTTCTAATAACAAGATCTATTTTCCCCCTTCTTTTTGCTGCTTAAAGCATCATCTCACTGACCTGACGTCAGGGGTTGGTCTAAAAGTCATCGGGATAATAAAAATGTACTATGGATACCACGGGTTTCCTACTAAAAGACCATTACCTACGGGGAACCAAGATCTAAATGCTATGGAACACAAACTATCATCAAAAAGAAGCCCCGTTTTGGGATGAGAATAAAATCAACAGCACTACAAGTCAACAAGGAGAACATTATTTTAAAAAAGAAATCATTTTCCTTTATTTTTCTTGATCTTTTTTCCTTCTTTTTTCTTTTCTTTTTTTTTTTTTTTTGTTGATTTTGTTGATCCTGTTCAATGGTGGCAAGTGTTGATTGTAGCCAATCCCTGTCAATCCTAGGAAGTTACATAAATACATTTTGAGTGTTCTATATTTCATTGTATTTTAATTCATTTTGCAATTCTTGTATATGCAAACTTAACACATTCTGTAAATTGTTTATAGTATGTGTGATATAACTTCACAGTAGATGGACTATGACCCTCATGCAAGCTGATTTTTATTATTATATAAAAATATACATATAAATATCTATATGTTGGGTCATCACCAACTTTTTTTTGGTAAGGCATTTGTTTTTCACCTATCCTTCATATATTGTATGAATTTCATAATTCACTTTTTTCATTTCCACAGGTTAGAAAGCAACAGTTGGTCTCTGTTGCCCTCTGCTTCTCCTAGAAAATGCATACTGTGCATTTTCAAAATTGTAGCAGTCTCTGATAAATGAATTAATTTTGTGTGTGTGTTGTACTGCGATTTCTTTATCTATCTATCTATCTATATTACTTTATTGAGATTTGAGGGTCTCTTTGTTCTGAAGAATGTTACAGTCTGGATTTGACAGCTATGCCTGTGTTATTGTTGTTGTTATTGTCCAAAAGCAATGTCAATTCTAGAAAATTTGCCTAGGAGATGGATGTGGGAAAAGTAAAATGGACCATGATTCCCTAAATTCATGGACTTACACTTCTTGCTATGGCTAAAAAAAAGGCTGCTTCCTTTGACCTTTATAAGTTTTGTAGCTTTGTCATTTTCTTTATTTGCTGCTGATTATATTTAAATATCTTAATTAAAAATTAAAATGTGGTTGGAAAATATAGTATACAAGAGATGGCTTCAAATATTTGGCTAAAGAGGAGAATGAGTTCTGTTTTCACTACTAATGAGTTATAATTTTAAATATTTCATTCTTACAGCTCAGAATTAAAAAAAAAACAGTTTTCTACTCTTGGAAAGACTGTCAGGCAGAATTATTAATGTGTCTAATGGCTAGACACTGTGGAATAGATACAGGTTGAAATAGAAATAACCTGTTTTCCTTCTAGAAAGACTCTTATTTTTCTTTCTTAACAAAAATCACTGGATCACCACTGTAGGATCATCAGCTCCCAGTCCTAACTGAAGCGTGAAAGCAATGAGTCTCTCCGCTTTTCAAAGGTAAATGCATTGATTTTCTACAATTCAATTGTATACAATGTGCATATTTTCATAATATTCTTGACATTATCTTCTGAGGAAAAAATGTTTCACACTAAATCTTTCATTGACATTTTTCTTGTTCATTTGATTTATTATTTCAGTATAACGAAAAGAAATCAATAAAGGATTTGATGGTGTTATTTTACCAACCTAGAAACTTATTTACTTTCATATTTAAAAGCTTAAAATACCTAAAGTAATAGCAATGTGAATATAATTCATTAAATAGTATGCACTTTATAGTTTCCATATATTCAGACATACGCATATTTTAATAATATACTTATCCAATTTCAGTCAGGATGCAAGAATATTTTATCTTTACCCAAAGTTCAGAACATGAGATTGGTCAGTTGTATAGCAAGACACATGTGTGCCTATTTCAACAATATTTATCAATCTTCTAACTGATGGTACATGCTAACATGAAAAGAACTCTCACTGGACTCCTGGTGCTAACATCCAAAATAATGAAGACTGTCAGTTATGGTAGCAAGAGTCCAACACATCGGTCTCTTTAAGAAAGAATATGGCATATTCATAGTCCTCCAAATTCAGAAAGTTAATGTTGAATCTAAAATATTAATACAGGAGTACAACAAATTAAGGAGAGCTCCTTGTGGTTTTCACCTTTTATCATACGCCGCTGGGACTACTACTTTTTATGTAACCATGACTGCTTGAAGCAACTAAAGATTGAAATATTAGTCACCCAACTTTTTCCAATGTTATATATATTTTAGTGAGAGAGAAGCATAAAAATTTAATTTCTTACCCTAATCAAAGTCAAATTCTTTTGCTCTGAAAAGTTTATTATGAAAAAAACTCTCAAGGAAAAATATACCAAAACCCATTGAAAACAGGATTTTTTCTGTGATAGAGACAAATTTGGTGGACTCCATGAACACATTGAAATTAAATCACAGTTTTTCATATTCATGTTTATCTTATGGAGATGGACCTTCACATTCAGTGATTCTGATAGTGACTTGGTTATGTTTTGTTGGCCCAAAAGAAATAATGTTTTTTTTTTTTTATTTTTGTGAGTATCTAAGTAGTCCTGATTAGTATAATTTTGAAATAATTAAGCTAAAGTTCTTGGAAGCAAAATATATTAATGTAAATATATTAGTTAGTATGCACATACATATTTCTCAAATACAGCTTGGAATAATAGATATGGGATAATGTTTGTGATTTTTTTAGAACCATTGCTAATATCTTAAAAATAATTTTATAAATTATACAGATATCTTTCAAGTAAGTGGTCTTGGTATTGATCTTATATCAAGGAGAAAATAATAAATGTAACTTAATTGTTGTTTCTGTAAGAAAAATAATTAAAAATATAATTTATCTGAAATAATACATAAACTTTGATGAATACATCTTGGAATTAAGACAACTACTGAATTAAGCTTCAGCTATAAAATATGTGTGCGTGTAATTTCAAGTATTAAGCCTAAATAATTCTCATTTTAGTTCTACTAATTAATTAGTGAAAACAGTCAATAATTAAGTGTTAGCTATTTGAGAGTTTCAAAAATGAATTAAATAATATCTTTCCTATATCTAGGAAAAGACAGACTATAAACTTCTAAAAATATAAGACAAAGTTCTAAGAAGAAAATCCAGTAGAACAATATAAGAGATATGATTAGCAATGTCAGATGTATAACTAAGAGTGAGTAGGAATATTGTTCTGAGGAAATAACATTTAAACAAACCTGTATGGATGAGAAACAATCCAGGACATTACCTGGGAGAAGAGTCTTACAGGGAATGGAAATGATGTGCAAAATTCCTTACGCATTATATTACTTATGAACCAGAAGAGGACAGAGGTTTAGTAAGTGAGGAAGAAGCTAACATGAAAGAACATGAAGCAAGAGATAATCAGACACCACCAAACCAATGACAGAGGAACAAACAGATGGAGTTTCTGGAAATTGAAAGGTGAGCACCCCATTTAAGGAAACAGATTTTTTTTTTAAAGATTTACTTATTTATTTATTTAT